ATCTAGCAGTTAAATGCTTAAAAAATAATTAAAATCATAACAACAATACTTGGGTTTTTTAGTGTTCCGTAGCCAAATGGCAAAAAAGGGACCCCTATGGATTCGTCATGTCTCTCTGTCTGTCTGCCGGTCCGCATGTCACAGCCGCTTTTTTCCGAAACTATAAGAACTATACTGTTGAAACTTGGTAGGTAGATGTATTCTGTGAACCGCATTAAGATTTCCATACAAAAATAGAAAAAACAATAAATTTTAGGGGCCCTCAATACTTAGAACTGAAGCTAAACGATTTTTTTTTCTTAAACCCATACGTGTATAGGTCTTCAAAAATGATATCTTAGGTTTCTAAAATATTTTTTTTCTAAACTGAATAGTTTGCGCGAGAGACACTTCCAAAGTGGTAAAATGTGTGCCCCCCTTCATTCAATCAACTCAAATATAAAAAAAATAAACCTATTTAAAAACAAGCTTTTATTCAAATGCGCTAAAAAGAAAAAAAGGAAATTTCAACTAAATTAGTTAAAGATATCTGTTTCTAAATAGATTTTCAAATTTCAGAAGTCCGCCATATTGGATTGAGAGTGACGTCACATTTTTTTCGAGTTACTCTCAGCAAGCCCTTTAATTTGATACCCATATTGTAGGAATGCATTAAAAATGATTGGTCCGCCATTTTGGGTATGCCACCATATTGGATTTAGAATGACGTCACACTGTTAATCATGCATTGTCATCCGAACTGAACGAGCATACCAAATTTCAGCTTAATCGGTTGAGGGCAAGTGCTTTAAAATTGAGTTGTAAGATTTGACCGTAACAAACATACATAGCAAGTTAAATAAAAGCTTGTAATAACATTTAATTTCATAAACATAAACCGTGAACCATTATTTCGGGTCAAGATTGAAACATTAAATAGATTTTCGTTTCTGATCGATAATAATAAGTCTTTCAATCTTGACCCGCCCGACTTCCAAATGATGAACCAAATATTATTTTTTACTTTTTAGTTCTATTTTCGATTTTGAAGTCGGTTTTTTTCTACTAAAAACTTCTTTATATTTAAAACGCGCTTTAATGTGCACAAACTTGATGTCTCTAAGCGAGGGGTGTAACTTTTCAAAAACTCTTAAGTTACAAACAATGCCAGAACATTGTGGAGATTTCATTCACTTGCTGAAAACTTAAATGTCGCAAGTTCAAGTAAATAAGTTGTAATCAATTGTCACAATTGCTGGCTGTCAACGAAGTTGAATGTGCAATCGGTGTGGTTGACATCGCAAACTGTGGCAATATCAAATTGATCATTGAGCAAAAAACAGAATTTAGGTATTGTTGTAATATTGATCTCATTTGATAGTAAATTAAAGATGTCGAGTGCTTTAAATTTGAAGCATTTATTTGTGTGAGGAAGATGGAGAGATTAAAAAAAAAGAGTGTGCTTATGACCACACGACTGAAGTGAAACTTCCTTAGTTTCATCTGTATGTATTGAGGAGTTCTAGCCACAGTGGATAAAACTCAGGGGACGTAGTTATTAATTAATTAAAAGATACTAGATTTTTAATGTTATTTATTTGATTCGGGCGAATATAATTATTTTTATCTAAGCTACGAAAGGGTTGGTGCCTGAAGATCGTCTGCTGTATGGAACCTTCTATCAAAAGACAGACGATTCCTTATTTCAAATCTTAAAATCATGACATTAACTTTATTACTTATATTAATAACTGCCAACCGTAGGTATTGCAAGAGCAAAAAGTTTACCTAAACAAGGAGGCTGTAACGTCACGGACGTTACAGTATGTATACAAAATATACATGCATGTATATTTTGAGGATTGAGGAGCTCGATGGTGCGGTTGGTTAGCACATTTGGCTGAGAACGTTGAAGTTAAGCAACTTTCGCAGTGGTCGGTCATTGGATGGGTGACCAAAAATCTTCTATCGAGTTCTTCCGTGCTTCGGAAGGCACGTTAAGCCGTTGATCCTGGCTGCATCTGCAGTCGTTAGCACCTGTCAATCCGCACTGGGCCCGCGTGGTGGGTCATGGCCTATCTCCCTATTCCATCCATAGGGAAGGCTTGTGCCCCAGCAGAGGGGACATTAATAGGCTGATGATGATGATACATGCATGTACAATAAAGCTGCCACGTGGACGTCCTGGATAGAGACTTACTATTATAATAAGACTAGCAAACCAGTGAACCAAATGTTCACCAAAACCTGATTTCTCGAAAACCGGAAGTGCTACGTTACTCAATCCGGTTTGTAGTCTTATCAGACTATTCTTAACTTATAACTTAAATATTCTCTTTATCTATCTCTTACGGTTTGGCCGCTGAAACAGCACCACAGACAGACGGACGGACTTGTCTAATAGATAAGAGATAAAATAAATTATTACTATGTTTCGTCCAATATATTGAAAGTCAACAACCTTTCCAATTTTATTGTTTTCGTCAGATCCCCGATCAGGCCACGTGTCCTGACGCGAGTTAAACATTTTTTACCCATACAAAAAAAAGTGTACAACGCCGCTAAAGAAGTTTTCACTTCAAAAAAAGAAATACAAAACCATTATTTTGATTAAAAAAATCGGATGTAAAAATAATATTACACTAACCTTTATTATATTACCTTAATTGTTAATTTCACTCATAAATGTATAACGTGTTAAAGTGTGAAATTGAAATTGATAGTTATTTTTTTATGGGTTATATCAATTTGAATGTAAGGGAGCGTACATATTGTACGCTTTTTTTCTTGAATTACAACGTTCGAACCGCAGCTGACTTATTTTTTTACTTTAGATGAATTCATTATTTGAAGTAAAAAAATAATCTTGTAATATTTAAATCTAAAGAAAAGTTTACTAGAAAAAAATCCACGCGGACCAGGCAGCGGACGGGACTCGAACCCGCACCCTTCGCAATCCGGGCGAATGCACTGACCATTATGCTACTACGGCCCTATAATCTTGAAAAAGTATTCATTTGACGTGGCAAATAGGGCTGTGGTAGCATAATGGTCAGTGCATTCGCCCGGATTGCGAAGGGTGCGGGTTCGAGTCCCGTCCGCTGCCTGGCCCGCGTGGATTTTTTTCTAGTAAACTTTTCTTTAGATTTAAAAGGTTAGCATTAATAACTCAGCCTGGTGTTCGCTTACAATTATGTAGACACTTAACTTGGTTGTTCGTATTACCTGCTTGTAATCTTGCCAAGCAACGGTCTGTCATGCTCTACTAATAATGACTGACATCAAGTTTACATGTATATGGCAAAAACTAATAGCCAAGAAATGCCAGCATCAGGCGGGTGTGAAATCCTCATAGATACCCTACAGCCGGCTGCAAGGAAATGTCAGACTCTTACTGACTAAAAGACACCCGTTGGGACTGCCTCTGGCCGAGAAGGCCTTTAAGGGTTCATCGAATGCGACAGTCTCCTGAGAAGGGGAAGATGCAGCGCTGCCTGGTTAAAAACTAGTGCATATGCGCTTCTTTGACGAGCGGTTCCCTTTTAAAGCACTTTGGGGACTGGTTTGGGAAGCTGCAGAAGGCTGCTCGCAATATGGGGGGCATTACAACAGCCAGAGGTTCTGCTGTCGGCTGTTGGCCTACTAAGGGACGGGGATGCGGTTGTCGCTATTACATTTAACTGAGAAGAAACTCTGTTACGACTTAAACAAGCCGTTAAGTGTCGCCGCACACGGGCCAAACGCCACAGCCATAAACGCCGCCACGAGAAGCTGAAAGCGGCTACTAGTGGCTGAAGCGCGCGACAGCGGCCGACTAAGCTAAGGGGGAGAGGCGTGGGGAATCGCGCGAGTGAAGTGTGGCGGCGTTTTGTATCGGCGCATTAAGTGGCCGGTGCGGGCCACGAGAAGCGAGCAACGACGATTTGTAGCGTGTGGCGGCCACCGGCGTACCGTGTGTGGCGAGTCCATATAAAATGTATGAAAACTACATGAAATATGACGGTGGCGGCGTTTTGTTGTTGTGGTCAGTGGCCCGTGTGCGGCGACACTAAGAGTACATCAGGGGCTTTATCGGCGCAATACTTTACCTAGTAAAATACTGCTCGGGGCTACCTCCTGGGGGGCTGTATTCTTGAGCAACGACCATAGATAGAGAAGCCCGCGCATTAGCATATATTCAGTGCCATCTTTGACCTATTGGAGGCCCTGGGCATATTAGGATATTGAGCCACAACCCCCTTTTTGGTGATCTAACAAGTACTAGGGACTTTGTATTTGTGATCTGAGGCCCACTTATCGATCACGGGGCCCTGGGCACTGGCCCAAAGTGCCCACTGGGAAAGAAGGATCTGCATACATTACATACAAAAACGTCTACTGCACAAGTGTATTTATTTGTCTGTGGTTTTGCTCAGCAACTTTGCCGCTGGACTTTTTGGTGGGATCGGGAATCGTCACTTTAGCAGTTTTGTTTTTCTTGTTAAAAATTGTGTTGTGGCGGATGTTAGTGTCTAATAATGGTGGATTATTAACCACTAAGTGTTCGGAAACATGCACAAGTGTTGGCAAGTGAAACAAAATAGCGGAAAGTGTCTTTCGACGTTCCCTCAAGAAGTCCACGGGGAGGTTCCAGTAAATCCCCACACTTTTACTGAAACATAGGGAAAGGGGGATTGACTTGACTGCCACTTACTTTGACTTGACTAATATTTTGACCACGAGTGCTATAGAATATGTAAACATTTTACATTTGACATTGGCTAAATGCTCAAACCGTGAGAGGCAATATAGAAAAAAAAAACTTTGCCGCTACCTATAACACAATCAGAAATAATAATGTGAACGCAACTTATAGGCATTTGAGAAAACCCATACATTTTTATTCATGTAATAAAGTATATAATTTCTCTTCTAAACTGAAGCAGGTAACAACCTCAGCCCGTATTTGAAGATCCATAGAGAATTGAATACTTTTGCTTGTGTCTTTACGCCAAATTCAACTTTAAAATTATTTGTTGCAGGGTTCAACTTGGCATGAACGCGACATAAATGCAAGAAACCTCCACAGTAGCGCCTCAGACCGAAAAGGGTGTAACTGCGAAATTTCTATTTTACATAAAAGACATCACGTTCATATATTTCAAATTCGTTGTTTATGCAGTAATAATTTACAGTCTTTTCTATTATTATGATTATTATTTTGGATGATAAATAAACAAGTGATGAGCAGGTGATAATGTGAATGAAGTGAGAAGTGACACAGTCAGTGAAGTGAATAAAAAGGATGTTTTGAGGAGTGAAAAAGAACACTTTTGGTACTTCGAATTGATTCTGGGAGTGTTTTAAGGTAAGTTTTTTTTTATCACTTATTATCTTATTTTAAGCTATTTGACAGTATGAGAAATAAAGTACCTACAAATTTTTGGCATCTGTATTTAATATGAATATAAGCAGCAATTTTAGTATTCTGGAAGGAAAAATCATTAACAATTTTCTAAAACTCATTTATACAAATGATTTTTTATGGTCAGGTGACCGAAAACGCAAGGGATTGGCGAAGACTGAAATGACGTCACACACTAGTAAACTTCCGGTCAAAGTGACACTATATTGTATCGTTTACCTTTTTAATGACAGTCGTGTGACGCCGCATGCCAGAGAAACGTTTTCGCTGTAATTTGAAAATTCAAGTTTTGATTCTTTGTTTTTACTGAAATAGACAACAGAATATTGAATATCGACTGGACTCCATAAACATGTGTATGTATAAACATGTGTAATAGTATACGCCAAGTTAAAGTCAATCGCGAGTAGAGTATCTATATTAAAAAATAAACTACCATACAGAACCCTTAGACTCATATATTTATTTATCCCTAGCTGAATCTGCTGTTAGGTATGGCTTAAGTAGTTATGAAAAAACATATAAGACAAACATAGAGGATATTTATAAAATTAAATATAAAATGCTAAAGACAATTGACGACCTCCGTGGCCGAGTGGTTTATACGCCGGGTTTCATGGCGTCGCCGACTCGAGAGGGTTCGAATCCCGGTAGGTGCCAATGTTTGTGTGATGAATACGAGCATTTGTACTCCAGTCATGGATGTTTTAATATGTATTTCATATAAATATACTTATATATGTACAATATATGTAATCTATCCGTTACCCTAGTATCCCATAACACAAGCCTTTACAGTGCTTACTTTGGGGCTAGGCTAATTGGTGTGAGTGTAAGAAATATTTATTTATTTATTATTAATTGTACCCAAATATATAAAAGTTTATTAGAAAGGTAACGCACAAGAACTATTTCGATATTGTAAAGCGATTAATGATTACGACAAAATTAATTACGTAATTCTGACAGAATGTAACGAGACTAATTACTTGAATATTAATAAAAGACCAGATAATCTGAGAAATGTTTAAGATCGCAATCGTAAAATATTTATTGCCAAAACGTAATAATGTCCACGGAAATAGAAAGCTTTGTTATTTTAGCCTTTTTATCTCAATGAATTGCTTAGTAATTTACAGGAAATTTACTCGAATACTATAATTAAAAAATATATATAAATTTAAAAGATATTACTCACAAAATGAAGAAAAGGACGAGTTCCGTGGCCGAGTAGTTTGTACGCCGGGTTTCATGGTGTCGCCGACTCGAGCGATCCTGGGTTCGAATCCCGGTAGGGGCAATTGTTTGTGTGATGAATACGAGCATATTTGTACTCCAGTCATGGATATTTAATGTGTATTTCTATAAAAAAAATATACTTATATATGTACAGTGTATGTATTCTATCCGTTACCCTAGCATCCCATAACACAAGCCTTATAGTGCTTACTTTGGGGCTAGGCTAATTGGTGTGTGTTGGAAATATAAAAAAAAAATATAGTCAACTTGAAAGTGTATAAAGTATTAAAGGAGTGGCTCTCATACACACATAAACCTTAACAGGTTTTCGTGTATGGTCTTTGAAATATTTATATGTATGTGTCAATGTGTTTGTAAAATAAAATAAATAAATAATGTGAGCTCGTTTTCTAAAACTTCTCACGTATTCTAATAAATAATTCAGCACCTACCCACATACTAATAATAATTTCATAAAACGCTGTCTTGTATTCGTTTGAATGCAAAGTTATACTTGACATTTTGGTAATTTTCCTTAATGCGTTGTCACAAGGAAGCTGATGTTCTAATATTCTGGTCTCTATTTTAATATAAACCTAGGTATCGTCTAGAAATGTTTACTTAAACATATACTAAAAATAAAAAATAAAAGATTTTTTTTCAATTATTTAAAGCCAGAAAAACATTTGTTATACAATCATGCACTATTTAGAGATTTTTTTATCATAATTTATCATTATGATTTATTTTATACATTACAGACAGACGTAGTCACAGGAAGAATTTAGTTATTGTCAATTTTACACTTACCTCACGACAAGACACCACCGCAAACCGCGAGCGAGATTTTCATCGCAATACTACGATTACAGAATCGGTTCAGATCTGTTCAAATCGATTACTACGCCGATTATTATCATTTGGTGCGTTACAAATTGATAAATCGGTATAGTAAAGTGCGGTTCACACCACAAGCAAGAGTTCAATAGATTAAATTGCGTATTTAAGGTCGATACGATATTTTAAACGAAATCATGTTAACAAGCCTCATCTCTTATCTATTAGACAAGTCCGTCCGTCTGTCTGTCTGTGGTGCTGTTTCAGCGGCCAAACCGTAAGAGATAGATAAAGAGAATATCTAAGTTATAAGTTAAGAATAGTCTGATAAGACTACAAACCGGATTTGAGTAACGTAGCACTTCCGGTTTTCGAGAAATCACGAATTTCAAACGAAACCACACAAAATCTCCGAAGTTCTCAATTAATTAAATACATTTTTTTTTAAATCAGATTTTGGTGAACATTTGGTTCACTGGTTTGCTAGTACTAAAATAATTTGATTGACAACTCGGCTCGAAATACCAAACTGTAGGGGTGACCTCCTACATAATGATATTGGGTTAAGGAAGAAAGACAACTAATTTTGTTGAATGCATGATGAGCATTGATTTATTATGCAAAGTTAAGTTTTTATATACCTAGAATAATGACTTAACTTCAGCGTTCGGCTGCGATCGTTGAAGTTAAGCAACTTTCGCAGTGGTCGGTCATTGGATTGGTGACAAAAAATTTACTATCTCTCGCCCCTCTGTGCTTCGGAAGGCACGTTAAGCCGTTGGTCCCGGCTGCATCTGCAGTCGTTAGCACCCGCCAATCCGCACTGGGCCCGCGTGGTGGGTCATGGCCCAATCTCCCTATTCCATCCATAGGGAAGGCCTGTGCCCCAGCAGTGGGGACATTAATAGGCTGATGCTGATGATGATGAGAACAATGATGTATACAAGATTAATCTACGTGACTCGTACAAAGAGTGTTATTTTAAGCAGAGATTTTTATATATTTACTTCTGGGATGGCTCCGCCAAGTACTTGCTCGATGCTTTGGATAGGTTACAGCGGCGCGCGATCCGCATCATAGGCGATGAGGAGGTGACTAAACACCTCGAGCCTCTTCAATTACGCCGTGACGTGGCGTCACTAAGCGCGTTCTGTCGTCTGTACCACGGCGAGTGTTCTGAGGAGTTATTCTCTCTTATTCCACCTTCCCCTTTCCTTCAGAGGACCACGCGCGCTGGCCTACATTGTCACCGTCTAACTGTGGCCACAATTCCAACGCGTACAAAGAAATTTGGTGACTCATTTCTTTGTCGCACTATCCGTAAATGGAATGCTCTGCCCGCTCACGTGTTCCCTCCCTCTTACAACCTGGGATGCTTTAAAAGAGGCGTGAAGAAGCAACATGCAGGCCGGCAGGGTGAGGATGGCTGGTGTGGCAGATAGAACTGCTGTATCAGCTATCTTCGCGTCTAGACTTCACCGTGACTTAACATTAGGTGGGTTGGAGTCATTTGTCTGAACTATCTATAAAAAAAATATATAATAATAATGGGAATATGGAGGAGCTTAGTAGTGCAGTTAGTTAGCGTATTTAGTCTGCGAATTTGAAAGTATAGCGGCTTTCACAATGGTCGCTCAATTCATGGGTGACCAAAAAATTAATATCTTGAGCTCCTCTGTCCGTTGGTCCCGGCTGTATTTGCAGTCGCTAGCACCCACCAATCCGCACTAGTCCCGCGTGGTGGGTCACGACCCGGTTTACCTATTCCATCCATAGGGACGACCTGTGCCCCAGCTGTGGGTAATTAATAGGCTGAATATTACGTTTTTATTCTTTAAGCATTTAACTGCTAGATGTTTAAATCTAAAGAAAAGTTTACTAGAAAAAATTCTACGCGGAACAGACAGCGGACGGGACTCGAACCCGCACCCTTCGCTATCTGGGCGAATGCACTGACCATTATGCTACGCGGGTCTCTAGTCCCGTGTGCTACCTGGCCCGTGTAGGCTGATGATTGTTAAATCTATATATATATATAACTCAAAGGTGATCGACTGACATAGTGATCTATCAACGCACAGCCCAAACCACTGGACGGATCGGGCTGAAATTCGGCATGCAGGAAGATGTTATGACGTAGGCATCCGCTAAGAAAGTATTTTGATCAATTCTACCCCCAAGGGGATAAAATAGGGAATGAAAGTTTGTATGAAACTTTGTCAATTTTAAACCGATCCGGCTGAGACTTTGCATGCAGGTATAAGAAGAATCATAGATGAATGTCATTGTGTATAATACAAGCCTGAGAACAAAAACTGTAGTCTACACTTCAGCTCTACACCGAAGCGAAGCGAGGGCGGGCCGCTAGTAACTTATAAGTAGTACTATTTAGACAGTAGATTTTTATTTCAATCAAGAATTTATTATAAACATGACTAGTACAAACATTACGCAATTTGAGGTTTTAAAATAAGATCGAAAACCAATATTGTCATCGGTAAAATACTTACACAGTTCACAGGACCAATCGGCATCGAGTATTGGATATGTAGGTAATATTTTTTTTTGTAATTTTCACACTTGTGAAATGCCGTTAAAGGTTACCTGCTCGCCGTAGAGTTAAGTAACTGACAGACAGAGCATCTAAATCAGTGATTCCCAAAGTGGTCTATATCGACCCCTAGGGGTCTATGACAACCTGCAAGGGGTCTACGTCAGCGAAAAAAAATCAATATCAGGTAAGTAGGGGGTCTACCCAACACGGAAAAGCATGGCAAGGGGTCTACGACACAAAAAAGTTTAGGGAACTCTGATCTAAATAAACTAATTTAAATGATAAACTAATTTTAATATTAAATAGTTGGGTA